ATTTTATACTCTTATCAATGTGAATGTTAACATGTCAATGTGAATATTCACATTGTCAACGGGCCGGACCGGGCCCGCCCCCGCCCGCCCATGGGCCGCGGGCGGGTTTCGCGCCGTCACGGGACGGGGGCCAATTTTACACTCCTATTAATGTGAATGTTAACATGTCAATGTGAATATTCACATTGTCAACGGGCCGGACCGGGCCCGCCCCCGCCCGCCCATGGGCCGCGGGCGGGTTTCGCGCCGTCACGGGACGGGGGCCAATTTTACACTCCTATTAATGTGAATGTTAACATGTTAATGTGAATATTCACATTGTCAACGGGCCGGGCCGGGCCGAGTCGGGCCCGCCCTGGGTTGCTGTCTAGTTTTATACTCTTATCAATGTGAATGTTAACATGTCAATGTGAACATTTACATTGTCAACAGGCCGGACCGGGCCCGCCCATGAGCCATGGGCGGGTTTCGGGCAGCTACGAGGCGCAGACTAATTTTACACTCCTATTAATGTGAATGTTAACATGTCAATGTGAATATTCACATTGTCAACCGGCCGGGTCGGGCTCGCCCCGAGCTGTGGGCGGGCTTTTGGGCGCCCATGGGCCGTGGGCCAATTTTATACTTTTATCAATGTGAATATTCACATTGTCAACGGGCCGGACCGGGCCCGCCCCGGGCCGTCCATGGGTCGCGGGCGGGTTTCGCGCCGCCACGGGACGGGGGCCAATTTTACACTCCTATTAATGTGAATTTTAACATGTCAATGTGAATTTTCACATTGTTAACGGGCCGGGCCAGCCCTGGCTCGCGGGCGGGTTTCGGGCCGCCCATGGGCTAATTTACATTCCTACAAATGTGAATTTTAAAATATGAATGTTCACACCATTAAATTGTTAATCGTTGAAAAAATATTTATAAGAGTATCAAAATTAAATATAAGGGCATAAGTATCCAAGAAAATAGTGTAAATCAAGAAAATGGACTTTATGGAATAAAACTATACATACATGGGACTAAATGGGTTAAAAAATTCATTCATGGACTTCTTGGGTTAAAACATTTCTAAATTGGACTTATCAATAAAACTCCCTATAATTTTAGAATTTTAAAGAAATTTTAATAATGTGATAAAGAGTAGAGTTTCATGTAATGTGATGTGTGTGTTTATAATTTTGTTTTTATTTTTGTTTTTTTTCTTCCCTTGCCATATTATTAAAACTCTTTTTAAAACTTTAAAATTAAAATTTTCTATCATTATTATTTTTAAAATGTTATTTTTTATTTTTAATCTTTTGATATTTGAAAGTGGTTGAATTCATTGTACCAATGCATCAAAAAAAATAATGTGCAGATAATGTATTTTTATGCGGAGAACTATTATACATCGTGGGTCATTTTCATCGTTTTATATATGATAAGATAACGTTTGATTCTATTAATTTCTTAATAATAATTTTCAGTGAACCAGTACATAACTAGTGAACCAAACGAGTTATTATTAAATTACAGGTTCATACACGCCTTTATTTCACGTAGTTTAAATAAAACTTAAGCAGACTCTACATTATTACTACTTCCATTGATTGGCAAAGGGAAATGTGGAGAACCTAATGGGCAAAACACAACATTATAGTCCGTAGTCCCACCGGGGCAAGTAAATGTGCTTGAGGCATCATCTTGAGGATAGCTATATGCGTCTGGACAGTTTTTCTTGAAAAACATTGAGTAATTGGTTGGCGAACACGGCCCACTGGTGCAACAATATTCGGGTGTCTGAAAAACCGTGCAAGGATTATTACATCCGCCTGGGGCCCTCAACACATCCGGGCATTGCCCGTTAATGTCGGCTGTGCATGAAATCGGATGGCATTTATCAATAGGGTTCCTGGTGGGGCTAAACTGAATGGGAATATTAAATCCATCAACTAGAGAGATGTCAAAGAAATCCAGGTTATTAAATTGATTTAGGGCATATTCGGCTAGGGTGTTGGGTGGGACTCCCCAACCGGTGCATTGGAGGACACCACCACAGTCACCGGTTTCGCATCTACCTCTACCGCTACCATCGAAGTTGCAATTGGTCCTACCCCAAATGCGGGCCATGGCCGTGCCAGGAGCCACGTTTATGGTCCATGCTTGGCCGCGGTTAAGTTGGACACCGCCACCTGGTGTGGCAGCTGCCCAGACCGTGTAGGGGCAGTTGTTGCTGATTGTGAAGACAGCTGCATCAGTGGAGATGAAGAGGCTCGAGAGGAGAAGGAAAGGAAGGGCATTTGCTAAATAGCCCATTCTGGTGAAATGATAAATAATATCAAGTTATGATGATGTGTTTTGAGTTTATTTTTCACACTAGGAGGTAATGTTTATATAGGGGGTGGGCGGCTTTTGGCTTTATGTAAATAAATCACTCGAAGTAGTCGAGTATTATTATTATTAAGGATAATATTAAGAATTATGAAAAAAATATTATGAAATGTTTTATGAAAATTTTTTATTCTTTGATTAGTATGTAGTGTTTTAGTGTATGTGTAATCTAACGATAGAGAAGTTTTTATAATTATTTTTATAATATTTTTTTCATGATTCCTAATATTACACTATTATTAATAATAGTAGAAAAAGCTTTATCAAATAAGCGAGGCGGCTTAAGATTTATGTGGATAAGTCAAAAATGAAATTGTAGGGTTTTCAACATAAATTGAAAATTGATGCCATAAAAAAATTGGTGCCATAAAAATAATGTTAGCGCTCACATCTTTTGCTTTCTCATGGGTGGGTGGGGGTGGGATCAAGTCAAAAATGAAATTGTAGGGTTTTTGACAGAAGTTGAGAATTTGTGGTTGAGAATTGGTGCCATAAAAATAATGTTAGCGCTCACATCACTTCTATTCAATGATGTACATTCTTAAAAATTTTAAAAATATTATATATTATATTAAAAATTTTACAATAACTTTAAATTATAAGAATTCGTACCCTCAATTTTTTTTTTGTAGATAATTTCAAAATTATATAAAAGTTATCCTCCAATTTTTTAGACTATAGAGTAGCCTTTCAAAGACATAATCCTAAATCCGTTCCTGCTTCTATTAAAAAGACTTTACTATAGACTCGTCTTAATGCCATAAGAATATTGTTAGTGCTCACATCACTTTTATTAAAAAGACTTTATTATAGACTCGTCTTAGATTATTGTCTTTTAAGACAATAATAAAAAGAGGAATAATATGAATAAAATATAAATTTTTATATTTTTAAATTTTTATTTAAATTTATAATTCAAATCCAATCTTATTTAATCATGGTGTAAGGAGCTCTCCACCTAATTTAATTAGCTTTTAGTTGAATGCTCTTAATAATTTTATTATGGTATGAAAACTACATTTTATATGGTATTTCGAGAATCAAATCTCCACCTTAATTCATTTCTCTCGTTTCTCATCTCTTTGTGCAAATAAGTGCTAGAAACTTATTTCACATTGCCTTTCTAGGCCATCCAAAATTAATTAATATAATTTGTGCCTCTCCACCTAATAATAATTAGTTTTGAATTAGATATTCTATTAAAGATTTGTCCCATATTATTTCTTTATTAAGCCATCCGTTAGAGTTCTATTTTGTTCACCAACCAATGAACAAAATTATTATTAGAGCAATGCTAGAAATATAAGAACAAAAAATCTACAAAACACTCACATGGGTGTAAGACTTACACTAAGTGAATGTTTGATAAAAAAAAATTAATAGAAATTTTGAGATTTCTAACATTTTTTCTCAATTAATTTTCCCTTTTATTATTATTATTATTATTATTTTTAATGATGCCATCTGTCTTTTTCACCAGGCTTGATGCCACCACCTTGTATGTTACAGAACTATATATATATGTATGCCATATATACAGATTTTTTAAAAATTTTTTAAGACTACATATTACGTTACTGACTTGGTAGAAGATATTAGGACTTTTAAGCAACCAAAAAATATTTCTGCACTCATCTTTTTTTTCTTAGGAGGTGTTACCATTCGTTATGATTGGAATTGTTCATTTTAAAGGTTAGTTGATAAAATCATTCATCTAAAAAATTAGATATCAATCCACATTTGTCTTTAAATAAATGAATAGTTATTAATATCTGATCATATAATTGCCAATATCTAGTTAACTTTTTACATAGATAATTTTTTAACCAACTTTACAAAATAAACAATTTTAATCACTTAAATAAATGGAGTTTGGATTAAATTTCTCTTTGGTCCCAGTTGAGCCAAGTTTGAAATGATTTGGTGCAAGCCCAATTCAAGCCCAACCCAACTTGGTCACATAGTATTAAAGAGGTTTGCTAGCCCAATATAGCCCGTTAGTAACAAGCCCAATGGGGTTTGAAGAGAAAATGTATGACTGCGGCCCATATTGTATTGTTTGTAAAATGGACTGAAACTAGTCTTACCAACACCTACGTGGATCAATTTGGACCGTCCAAGTGTAAAATTTGGACTGGGCTGAGAAGGGCTTGAAACGTCAGCCTTAGCTGTTTTAATTTCAATGCCCAATAAATGTCGGCCCATCTCATAAATTTGTGTAAATTATACTGTGCTCCTTTTATAATTTTCTACTTTGACTTATAAATTATACGTGGATCCTCCTCATTTTGACTCTTCATCTTTTAAGTTTTTTTTATTTTATTTTATAATTTACTTCAAAAACTAACATATATCTAAAATTAAAAAGAAAATGACAAATTAACAGTCATATGGTATAAAAATATTTTCTTATAACTTATACTGACATAAATTTAAATCTTAATATAATAATATATATTTTTTATAAAATAAATTCAAATATTAATATAATGATATATATTTTTTATGTCGTGTGGTAACAAACATGACTTTTTTAGTTGTAATTTGGCAATAGGTTTTTTTAGTTAGTTTTTTTGGCTATTTTAGCTTGAAACTAAAGTTCGTTTAGGTTAGTTTTTTGACTTTTATGGAGAAAAAAAAATGAAATAATTTTGATTTGAATGTGACATTTTGTTATATTAGCATTAGCTTATTTTGTCTTTTTGTGGTTAATTTAGTCAAAAATTCCATTGCCAAACGAAGCCTTAGTCTAATTTTGAACATAAACTAGTTTTAGGAGTAAGTTGAAAAAATTTTCAAACGTGAAGAGCTAAAGTGGAAAAAAAAAATTGTATTACAATGAAGCAGTATATAAATAATTACATTTTCATAGTGGTGCAAATCTTTCTTGTGTGTCAAAGTTGAACCTAAAAAGATTTTCATTTGTAGTGTAATTATTTTGTGACTGTTTTATCTATTTGTAATTTGTCCAAAAAAAAAAAAGAAATTTAAGGATCAAAGTAAAAAAAGACAAATATAAAGGGGACAAAATGTAATTTACCCAATAAATTTAATCACACGAGAAAAAAAAAAATGCTTGGAAACTCTAACTGAGTACCCTTAATCCACCCCTAACGACATGGAATGGACCATGTGAAGGGAGGACCCATACCCCTTTCTCTTTCTTTCTCTATTTTTTTTTCTCTCTTCCACTTTATTATAGGTCAAAATGAAAATGTTGTATTAAAGAGACGTATCACTGCTTAAAAAAAAAATGGTGTTATATGCACTAATTAATGTACACACTAATACATACAGTATTATTGTAAAAAAACAAAAAAATAAAAGAAAAGACAAAGAACAGTTTACGTGGATTACTATCGGCGGCTTCGCTCCCTCCCTTCCCATGCATATTGTCTAAAAATAATTAAATATTTATTAGATTTGTTGTTTTTAGGAAATAATTTTCAAAAAATAAAAAATAAAATTGAATTAAAAAGAATCAATTTCAACAAACATAAAAAATGTTGTTTTCTAATCTCTATTTTATGTTTTTTAAGTTCAGAATCCTAAAATCACTTCTATTTTTTCAAACTTTATACAGAATTGTGAATTCAGAATTTTACTTCTTTTAGGATCACTTCTTTTACTTTAGGAAATTATTTCCACTTTATTCAGAATCACTTATTTTACTTTAGGAAATAGTTTTCACTTTATTGAGAATTTTGAATAATATGCCTAGCTAGCCTGGCCTATGTTATCCATATTTATTATATGGCTAAATTATCGATAGGTCTTTATAGTTGAATTTAATTCTTGTTAAATCTTATTAAAAATAAGTTCGAATAAAATCGTCGTTAAATATAATTTTTTGTGACAATTTCTTTGCATATGTCGCTAAAAATTGACAATTAGTGACTTTTTCTATCACAATTTTTATAAATTATCACTAAAACTTATAATTAGTGACGTTTTTCTATAATGATTTTTTTAAACTGTCGCCGATAGTTAAGAATTAGTGATTTTTTTTGTGACAATTTTTTTAAACTGTCGCTAAAATTTATAATTAGTGATATTTTTGTGATAATTTTTAATCAGTGAATTTTTTTATAATGATTTTTTAAACTGTCGCTAAAACTTATAATTAGTGACATTTTTTGTGACAAACTTAATAATTAGTCACATCTTTTAATAGTATTTGATAGAAAACGCAATTAATTATTATAAAACCTATGGAATAATAAATTCACCTATTAAAACCTATACGTAAGTCCCCTATTTAAATATGACAACTTTCAATGGCCTAACACATCAACTATAATGATCGGGTCTTCCTTCTTTTCTTTCGTTTTCACTTCGTTCTCTTCTCGTTTCCATTGGGTGTGAAACAACCGGAAATAATTCTCAAAATTTAGTTCGTATTCTTGTCCTGTTCAGCGTGAAATTTCACTTATTCCGGAAGAGTGCGCGGTTGGGTTCAGAGCGCCCGGGAGTTAAATCAAGAAACTCTGGGCTGCTGGGCCAGGGCCGCACGTGCGAGGTTGGGCCGCATGTACGGGAGGCCAAGCCGCACTTGCGGGAAGAGGAGAACCCGAGGGTGTTGCATTCTGCTTAAATTGCAGGTGCGGATGGGGAAGTGCGGGACCAGCTGCACGTGCGGGGATCAGTGCCACACGTACGGGAAAGGGCAGCCACACGTGCGGGGGCATGTGCCGCACGTGCGGAGCGGGACCAGTCCGAAAACCCTATTTTTTTCAAACTTTGGGGTTGTTTGTATCTCATTCTAAAATCTCTTCCTCTCTCTAAAAACATTTTCTCTCCTCCTTCTCTCTAAAAACCCTAACCAAAGCACTAAAAACTCTTGAATCTTGTTATCCATTGGGCTTAGATCATCATCATCCTCCTCAAATCTTCAAGGTAAAGCTAGAATTTCACTTGGGCGGTAGAAGTTGAAGGATCTTCCTTCAAAAGCTAGGGTTTCACTTTCTCTTCATCATC